GATGGATTTGACTCGCGGGGACGGGGACGGGTATCATAAAACCCGTACTCGGCCCGCCCGTTGCCATCCCTACTCCTAACTAGTTACTTGTTTTTTATTTATGTCAACAGAAAAATTAATATGGAAAATAAGATCGCAAAAACCTAGGTAGTTGGATCACAGGAATGCTATTTCGAGCAAGACATGATGCATGTTGCATTGTGTATGCATGTTTCAACACAATCATCTAAGGTGGGGAAAAATAATACTAATTGATAATTAGTTTCCTTTGTTAACATGTAGATAGTTAATTACAATGGCAAAGACACACTAAATTACATAAATTGTAAATGGATTTTATGATAAAATGAAGGCGTATTAAGATAATTTCATAAGAGAACTTGGGCTCGTTTCTTTAAAAAAAATTAATAAAATAAATATTTTTAAAATTTTTTTAATGTATTTATCTATTTAAAAAAACAATTTTCTGTTTTTTAAAATAGACAACTTCTTTCCAGTACTTTTTAATTGTGTGGTGCATTCAGTAATAAATTGTTTTTCAATTTTTCACGCTTTTAGTAATAAATTGTTTACATAACAATATAATTATATGGAAAATTTATTTATCAACTCATTTAAGTAATTTAAGTAAGGATTGTATATATATATATATATATATGATAAAATTTGAAAAGGAGAAATTTAAGGCAGTGCCTAATTTGATGGTGTGACTTAACTGGTAGATCTTGCAGTGAAGAAGATTGAAAAGCACAGGGAGAGAGTGCTCCATTGTGATAGTGTGCTACAAGAAAACCAGTTTGTTAAGGCAGTGCCATCTTCTATTCTGAAGAAAGTGTTCTAAAAATCGTAATGTGATCTGTAACATGAAAGATGTCAATCAAGATGGTGATAAGGTTAGTAAGTTGTGAATTAATGCTGAACTGATGGAGTAGTACTGTAGTAGTAGGAGTTGCCAATGTTAGCCTCTTATTTCTTCTGTAATAAACTTTAGTAATTTGGGTTCCTTATCATAACCATCTAACCATGTTTTTGCATCTAATATAAGTGTGTAGCATTTTATTTTCTTCAGCATTAATTTCTAAACTCCTGATGTGTCATTGTAAAGAAATTTGATTCGGAACGTTGGGTCATCGGTAAGCATTTTTTATTAGTAAATCATTATTGTTCTATTTGTAGTTTTGTACAATTAAAATTTGCCAGTTTTTGTGGAGCTTGATCTGTTATTTGTACCTTAAAATTAAATTTCATAGTTATGAAATATCCGTTTCTCTTTCAAGGTCCAAACATAGATGTTCACGTTCATTGTTTGGTTGAGTTTGGCAGAAACGTGTGCACCCTTTACTAGAAAGAATGTCTTGATCTACAAGGGTCATGTCATCATCACGAAGATTTCCCAAAACCAAATTATATTTGGGCTTTCAGGCACTTGCAGTAAACAAGCACGTGGCTTTGGTTTGCAAAAGAAAAAAAAATGTGATGATTTAATGAAGAACAACACAATGACATGGTAAGTTGGTAACATGGGAGATGTAAGGGTGTGCCAGGTTTGCCTAAAGTTTGAATAATTAAGGATTTCAAGTTTAAAGATTAGAGACTAAAATATGCATAAATTTTTATATATATTTAAATATATTTTTTAATTTCTTAAATTAAATATAAAATAAATTTATTTATTTATTTTTTTACTAAAAATATCATACAAAATTGACTTATTAGCATTGTTATTAATGAAAATACTACATTAAATACAATTTAGTATTGTATAACTAGCTCAATTTGTTACTAACAATAATATGAAAAATTAAATAAGACTCAATTATTATTATTATTAGTGGATATGTAACACAAAATTGACTTAATAAAGTTCTTATTAGAAAAAATAATATACTTAATTCAATTAATACTATTCAACTATCTTAATTTGTCAATATTAATACTATTACTAATAGTTTTAAAGGACAAAAATAATATTTTTTTAAAATTATAGGACTAGCATTATCGATATTAAATATATAAAAATAAATAAATTTATTTTAAATTTAAAAGCTTAAAAATATATTTAAATCTTTTCACAATTTTATTGGAAAGATGAAATTTATATGATTTCACTCTTGGCAGTTGAAGGAACAAAATGGTCACGTGCAGTTGAAGGAACAAAATGGTCACGTGCCAAAGCATAGAGTCTAGCACATTGCTTAGGAAAATGGAAACAGATAGAAACATTAAAAATAAAATAAAAATTAACCCCTAAACATTTGGTAGTATCTATGACTGGTTATACTGTGGGTTGTTTGGTTGAATACGAATCACAGAGCTTGATAACTCATAAGCAAGCAAACGTGATACTACAGCCGTCACACACCCACACACGACCAAGACTTGGTTGGAAAATGACAGAAATCACAACTCACTAACAAATCCACGTTTGGCACCACTTTGAAAACGGAAGATGAGATAACAAATGATTAGACAAAGCACACTAAAATCAGGCTCAGATAAAACTATATCCTCAAATTAGTAGTTCCACATGTGATGAGACCACCCAGAAAACGGAATCGTGAAAATTTTATAACGTACCCAAACCAATGCTACATTAGGATCAGGGTAAAAGAATGACAAAAAAGTTACACATTTATTGAATGATAGGGTACCTCCTAGTAGTGCTAAATGGCAAACAACTCAAAAGCTAATATATTACAAAAAAGTGTCAATCACATCCTCAATTTGGACATATCTGATGAGATGCCATTTTGGCATTTGCCTTCCAGATACACCGGTGTATGTTCCCTCCTCTTTCCATTGTCTCTAGGTTGAGACAAAAGACAATACACTGAATCATCTCATCACACAAGAAGGTTATGCCTAAGGGATCCTATATAATGTTTGTCCCTTACTCTAGCCACCAATGAAGCCTAACCGGTGAAGAATGACAGCCAAAATGAGCATGCATATTGCAAAGATCATGCCAGGTTTCCCTAGCAGCCAGTTCTTTGTCTTTTTTGCAGAATCAACTCCTCTTTGAATCCTGTCCGCCCAAAGCATCTACAAAGACATAGTGAAAAAGTTCATCTTAGTATTGTAAGTCCATGAGTCTATTTGGATAAAGTTTATAAGTGCTTTTGAAAACTTCTCTACTAAAGATAAAAACTTTTTTTAGTAGATAAGTTCTTAAAATTACTTTTAGCTATATCGAAACATACTCTATAACCATCCAACCTAAGCTTATCTACCCTTTATGCTATTTCAATTATCCATGGAATTATCCTGCAGCCAAATGTTTTACAAGCTAATCTCACTTTCTCTTGCATTTTATCTTACATTTCCTGGAATTGCCAAACCTCTCTTTTAACATTCCTCCTCTTAGGTACAAAATTTTATTAATGAATATAAACTAATATATTAGAGTTTGGAGAAGAAGATACCATTTTATCCAAGCTCTCTGGTGATAAGGATGACATGGCTTCCTGAGCTTTTGCCGCATCTTCTGGTGAAAGCTTAACACCAAATTGTTCACCCATGTTTGCCATCATTTCTGGGCTCATATTTTTAATCATGGATGTGAACATCTGTCAAAACAAAATTAAAAAATTATGGCAATACACAGTTAAATACCGAAGACAATAACGCTTCAAGATAGACAATCTATACTACTTGAAAAAACACAAAATGAACATGTGAGAAGACAATCTCAGACAAGGCAAGGGACAAATAAAGAGCAACACATATACATAATTAAAGGGAAAACTTAACCAGAAATTACTCCCAAGTAAAAGAGAAACTTGATTGCATTTATTCCAGCGGTATGTGGAAGGTTAGTGAGCATTCGATCTATTTAACAAGCAATACAAACACATACCTGCCGCATAGCTGGATTTTTCATCTGGTTTCTCATCTGTTCTTCTAGATCAGTACTTGAGGAAGGAAAGTTTGACTGAGAAGCATTTCTCATATTTGAAAAAACATTATGAGAACTTGATTCTCCAAAAGAAGTAGTTTCATTAGTACTTGATGATGGTAAGTTTGACCGGGAAACATTTCTTTCATTCAGTGAAAACACATTAGCATCTGCTGCTACTGATGGAATAGATTCTTTCCCTTTCAGTGAAGATGCCATTTCAAACATCCTCTTAAGGTCATCTGATGGCATTTTATTAATCATATCACTTGCTGCTTTAAACATGTGAGGTGTTACATTGGGAGGAATTGATCCGGTTCCAGGGTTGAAAGAAGAATCAGGGGAACCTCCTCTTAAAAATGGGCTGTCCCCTTGAAATGAAGAAGCCATGTCAAGTACTTTTTGAAGTTCCTCGGGTGACATCTTACTAATCATATCAGAGGTAGTTTTAATCATATCTGGAGACACATCTTTGAATTGTCCGGTGTTCAGAGAAGCCAGCATGGCAGGATCAGTATTTGAAATGAAGTTTTGGAATGATCTATAGAATACAAAATAAGAATGTAAATCATTTGTATACCAATGATTAAATTAAAAATAAACATAGGATCCATTTGGGTAAGTTTCTCTAATAGCACTTCTAGGAGAGAAAAATATGAAAAAAACCAAAATAAACTTCTCCATAAGCTAAAATTAACTTATGTATGAGTTAAAAATAAGATTTTGGAGAAGCTAAAAGAAGGGGCTTCTATGAGCTAATTTTAGCTTATAGGGAAAGCTATTTCATTTTTTCTTTCAATTTTACTCTGCTTGAAGTGCTTCTCAATAAATTTATACAAACAAGCCCATAATGGGCTTAGCACCTTCTTTAAAAATGTTAACTACCTGACAGCTTCAGGATCTTTTTTCAATGCATCTAAACTGTCTGTAGTTGTTCTTGGAATTCCATTGTTAGTTGTACTAAAGTTCCTAGAGGAGTCACCAGATTTTTTGGGCTGAACCACTGTTTGTTCTAAAGAAGAGCTACTGTTGTTTCCAGAAGGCACGTTCTCAACTTCTTCAGTTATTTCTTCAATTACTAGTCCTGCGTGCGCGATGCCAACAAGGTTAAGTTAAATCTGACATCTATTAGAACCATAAACCTCATGGGGCTCTGGCAAAGTAGAAAATAAATGAGGGGAATACATACTTCCAGGCACATGCCCACCACCATCGATTGTCAATTTTTCCTTGGCATCCCTAAAATAAGCATTTCATTATCATATCAGCTTACTTCCAACATACCAAGTCCTTTGTTATAGGTTACACAAGATTCAATAAAAATAAATAAATAAATAAAAACAGAATGGTCAACACATCACGGATAAACTTAATTCAGCATGCAATCCATTGTTTACATTGATTAATAGTAGAATTTAATGGAAAAACACTCCTAAATCATAATTAGAGGCTCTTTGTTACAACTGTAGATGTGTTTCATATACGTAATAAGTAGATCAACAAATAATTGTTTCTAAGACAGTGCACGAAAGTGGAAGGGAGCAAGACCAAACCGTAAAAGCTCTGCGATTGTATCATCGTCAGGGGACACTTCAAGTGCATTGCTCAGATCAGAAACAGCATCCTAAAAAATATCAGGAATGC